TGCTGTTCATTGGACTCTCCTACGCAAAGACCTCGATTAATGTTGGTTAGTACTTAATGCTCAGGATATCCAGGGTGTCTGTGGCCAAAGGCAGAAGGCAGAGGAGCCTGGGTTCTCTTGCCTGTTCTTTGCATGGTGCATGCAGAGGAGTGCAGAGCTGTGACAGGCAGCTAAGAAAGGGATCTTGCATACGTATGGTTTGTGAATGTAGACGGGCTGGTTGCATGCATAGAGGGAATGTCTGAGCAGCTGAAGGGTGCAGAGCCCCTCATGTGCATCTCTTGAACACAGAAGTCTCTGTCTTTTAGAGAGAGGGTTTGGAGAGCCTGCCTTATCTCATGTATGTGTGTTACTGTAACTACTACTCCTAGATCTCAGCCGCACAGAACAGTGGTCTGAAAGGGCAGACACTGATTTATGAGGCAAGATGCTGTGTGGCTAAAATAACTTTGTACTGTAGGCAGCTGAAGGGCGGTGAAGGTGCTCACCCTGGTGTTTACCTGGCTGCTGGCCTGGACTTTGGCTAGCTGGGCATGTCTTGAGTGCAGTTCTGAGCTCTGTAGAACAGGCCAGGGTGAATTGGACCTCGGTGCTTCTATCTAGATTCCCTGTCAGTCCCACTGTTGTGCACGTTTCAGCTGCCAGCTCTTCTATGGAAGCAACGGTTTGGGGCACATCTCATGGCGGGGCGTTGAGATGAAAAGTCTGGGCATCTGGCTGCTTGCCCCAAAGGTGGTGGGCAGGAGGGGGCCACTGGTGGCCCCCTGGCCCAGCTTAGCAGTACTCGTAATCACTGGAATCTGTCCTTACTGGGTTGGGCTGTGTTGCTCAGCACCTGCGGTGGTAGTTGTGTTGAGCACTGAGGCTCTCTTGAGATAGTGTGCGAGACAGGCTCTGCTGTAGGCAGAAAGGCTATGAATGAGCCCACGGAGGAGGCTTTTATTTCTTAGGTTTACAGGGAAAGGAGGAGATAAAGCCAGGAAGACTTCGGAATGAGATGGTTATCTATCTGGGCTTTTCTGCTGGCAGAGATGTGACAGGCTTCTCAGAGAAATATACTGTTTTCCTGCTGCTATTGTGAAGGGGAGGAGAGCTGTGGTCTGTCCTACTCGGAGGAGGAGACCTCCTGGCTGTGGTCTTATCCAGCTCATACTCTGTGGCAAGAGTCTGTAGGATGCAATAATGGATGTCTGTAGCCATCTGTCCCATCTCACGAAACATTCCTTGGGTCAGCTGCCCAGCAGAGGCCAGGCCTGTTTCTAGGCTATGTGTACACTGTTGCTCCAGGAACGTGAGACTTGCTCCAAGCGATGAGCGCTCATCACTACCAGACTATGCAGAGGAAGCTCTGTCTGGAAAGAAGGAAAGCTGCAGAGGCCCCTCTGCCTCCCCTTTCCAGCAGGTGCGCAAGTATAATGCACTTTTCACATTAAGTGTCCCTGCCCCCCCCCCCGCCACTTGAAGTCACTTTCCCCTGTAGAGAACTAACAGTCCTTGTTACTCAGAAAATATTGTAAAAGAAACTACAGCAGCTTGAGTAGCCCAAATGCTAGTTCCTGCCCACAGCAGTACATGTGCCTTTCCCTAGCGTCACTCATAATTGCTCTTTGTCTTTCAGGCTGTCCTAGGGCCTGAAACTTTGCAGAAGCTGCTAAGATGGCTACGAATGCACATTCTGTACAGAGTTTGGCCCGGGGTGTGTTCCATGTATGGTTTAAAATGCTGATGGTCAAGGCCCTTCCACGGTCTTCACATCTGTCTATGGAGGACAGGACTTGCCCCTAACGTCCTTCTAGGCTGCTGCCATTCCACCCTGCAAATGCACCCGTGCACATTCTAGTTGTTTTCCCGCTGTCATGGCACCTTAGCGCCAGGGGAGGGTCTGCCCATGCAAAGCAGAAAAACAGACATGTTGAACTGGGGGAACCAGCTGGGCTGCCCTGAGGCAAGGAGGTCTTTGTAGATAAGTGCTGATCCCTCAACTATAATCCCAGTTATGTAATGGCTGTATTAACATGTAACCGACCGCATTGTATCTAAAGCCTTAGAACTAGTCAGGTGCTCCCCTCCGACCTTGTTCCTGCCCCTTTCCTCCTACCTGATCTTTAACAAAGCATTAATAATTCTAAGGATAATCTCTATTTTGTTGTGCTTTTTTTGTAACTGTTTTAAATAAATCAATTTGTACTGTATATTTGTACTTTTGGTGAGATCCTTTTTCCTGTTTTACCATTTTAAGTCTGTACTTGGCTACACACAGATTGTATTTTTATTGTTAATGCTCTTATGAATATTGCATTTAACTTGTTGACTCTGTAAACACAGTATATATCTATATATATATATCTATATATAAACCAATAGCTTTTCCTTTGGTGTTTGAGACTTTTTGCTCGTCTGTAGCATCAGTGACCATTAGGATGTGGCTTCTCTTCTCTTACACAGAGTGATCTGGAGACTTGTGACAAGGGCAAGGTAAAGGCTGTCTGACAGATGGATTATAAGCCATAATTCTGTGTTCAAATACTTCTGCTTTTATGTGGTCTCTCTTGAACCCCTTGGAATAATGATCAGCTACCAGTGACACTGCAGATTGCAGAGTGAAGCTACGTCTGCTAGACAAGCAAAACACACAAGATGATAGAGCAATAGCGAATATTGCAAGAAGCAAACTCTGTTGGTTTGAGTATGAAAATGGACAGAGGTTAAGAGTTAAAGGGAGAGATCAGTTCGGAGAAAAGGGAACATGGATCTGAATAGATCTTTTCCAGATCTGATGCCTTTTCCCAAAGTGAGAGAGGCAAGGATGGCTCCTGGATGTCACTTCTATGTGATGAATGACATGTTAAAACAGCTTCTGTAAGGTGAGGAAACGAGATTACAGTGGCATGTGGAGGAAACTGCAGCACTGAAAAGATTAAATGCTTTTTGTAGCAAGGGTCCACAAGACTGTCTGTAAGTTTAGATCATTATCATGAAAAAAATGCAGCATTATGCACTTTGAAGGCCACTATTGTAAGCATTAACTAGGGCTTTAAGAGGCTTCAATCAAAAGTTTTTCAAACTGAAAAAAGAGGGAAAAATCAGGTTTCTAAGTAGTCTGGTCAAAAGGTTTTGCTTCTTGTTTTAACTTTACTCTTCTGATCTCAAGTAGGAATCTTGTGGTCACCATTTCTAACTTAATGCAGAGAAACAGCCATCAGAGAGAAGACAGTAGCTGCCAACATATTTAGACCACCATGGAACTGTAGTGCAGACCTTAACTGGAGATGCTACGAAAGCAGTAGGGGTCTTCAAGCTACAAAACATAGATGTGTGGCACACCAGTGTCTGGTGGGCTGATGTTTGGAAACCACAAAGCTACAGCATGTATTTTTAGATGCTCATTCTTAAAGAAACCAAATAATGGAGAGTGTACCACCCCTTTGCCCTCCCATGAGTCCTTCTGTGCTAATGTTTTGCCTTTTCCAGTTTAAACATGCCTAGATTTAATTCCCATAGTTGTGTAGTTTCATAATGATTTCTATTAGCAATGGGAACCTTTTCATATAGGTACAGACTATGATCACATTTTGCCTTGGCTACCTCTTGAATAAACTAAAGAAGGTTTAAATTCCCTACCCTCTGGCAGGTTTTTCCAGACTCGCTTACTGTAGCTTCCCATTGTAGCTCACCCCTTTTTCACGTTCCTTTCATTGGTTTTGCTGCTGAGTGTGGAAGCAAAAGCAACTTTCTTTTCTACCTGTGTGGTTCTGTTTACTCATGGTCCCCCCCTTGCCCCACAGTGTTATCTGCAGTGACCACTGAAAGTCACTGTTGCTCACAGAGGAATTTACTATGAGAACGAATAACTTGAGTGTGATCCGTGGTCCTAGATGAGCAGTGTTGCCTTTGGTTGTATTGAAATGGTTTAACAAGCTCGGCTTACTATGAAGTCACAGAACGGCTGAGGTGGGAAGGGACCTCCGGAGGCCATCTGGTCCAACCCCCCCTGCTCAAGCAGGGCCACTTACAGCCAGCTGCCCAGTACCATGTCCAGACTGCTTCTGAGTATCTCCAAGGTGGGAGACTCCACAACCTCTCTGGGCAACCTCTGCCAGTGCTCCGTCACCCACACAGTGAAAAAGTATTTCCTGATGTTCAGAGGGAACGCCCTGTGTTTCTGTTTGTGCCCACCACCTCTTGTCCTGTCACTGGGCACCACTGAAAACAGCCTGGCTCCATTTTCTTTACACTCTCCCCTCAGGTATTTGTACACATTGGTAAGATCTTCCCCTCCTCCCTCAAGCCTTCTCTTCTCTAGGCTGAACAGTCCCAGCTCTTCCAGCCTTTCCTCATGAGAGATGTTCCAGTCCTTTCAGTTATCTTAGTGGCCCTTTGCTAGACACTCTCCAGTATGTCTGTGCCTCTCTTGCACTGGGGACCCCAGAACTGGACACAGTACTCCAGGTGTGGCCTTACCAGTACTGAATAAAGGGGAAAGCAAATCCGTACAGTACTAGAGAACTGACCTACCCTTATTGTTTACCATTCAGTCAACTCTTTCACTTGCAAAACTGAAATGCTGTTTAAGTGAAAATTAACTTGTGAGTAAAGCAGCAAACTTGTTTGCTGTTTGCTTACCTCAGTCAGCCTTTCTGTTAGTGTTTAAATGGGGTATCTTAGAACAGGAACTCAGTTTCCTCTTAGTTTTTGCATGGCTGCTACTGCAAATAAGCACATAATGATAGTGTTAAGAGAAAGGATGTGCACAGCCATTTTCAGGGAGATGGCATCCTTCTTTGCTTCCTTTTCATGAGCGCAAACTGCGAGGGATTTAATTCTGGAGGAGTTGTGGACTATCGAAGTCCTCAGCTCCATAATTCATACTGCAGTAAACAAGATCCCTTTTTAGTGAGGTAGGCTTTCACCTACAGCAGAACTGCAGCAGCCCAGACCCATCTATGGGGCAAGGGTCCAAGAACAGGACAAAGCACAACAGGTAAAGAAGGGGACTAAATAAACATGAACATTAATTTATTTTCCCTCTGTTCACAGGCTGTGACTGGCCTGCAGAGCAGACTGTATCATCAGACTCTGCTCCCACCATGGCTACTTTGGCAGACATCTCTCAGCTCTGTTCTCCTATGTTCAGGAGGAAACCAGAACCATCTGTCAGGGAGAGTCAGCCAGGGACCCACAGCAGCCTCCCGAGTGTAGAAGCCTGCTAGCGCACCTGTGGCAGGTGCAGCAGAGGTGGCACAGTCCTTGGCTGCAGCTTAATGCAGCGCACTGTTGCTCTGCTCCTCAAAGGTCATTTTACCCAGCAGCTGGCTCTCCAGCTCCACATTGCTCACTGGCAGCTGGAAAAAGTTCATTTCAGCTGCCAAAGCGGCCATGGCAGAGGGGTCCTGGCCAAACTGTGCCCGGAGCATCATGTCCATTTTCTCCAGGCGCCTCTTGAGCCTCTTGGCCTCGCGCTCCCGGATGAGCCGGGCCTGTCGTTTCTCTGGGGTCTCATTTGCGCGTTTCAGTCGCATGGCTTCCCGGTCTCTCTGCAGCCGCCGTGCGCGCTGCTCATCTGTCTCTTGCATGCGCTGCAGGCGCTTAGCTTCTCGATCCCGCATACGTCTCACTTCCCGTTCTTCAGGTGTCTCATTGTCCCGCCGGCTCTTCTTGGCCGTGCGCTCCCGCTCCAGACGCTGCAGCCGCACTTCCAAGGGCTCGTTCTGCCGACGAAGTGCCCACTTTCGCATGCCAGGTGTCTGTGCCTCCAGCAGCTTACGATAAGCAGCACAGTTGTTGCACACTAGGAGGATGCCTGCAGGATACACAGGGGTGTGAAAGGCAATGTCTTTCCCCTCAACACTGGAGGGGCCCTCGCTCTGTGGTGCCGGCAGGCGATCTGCACTGAGCACCTCTGGCAGCTTCTCACTGGAAAGCAGAAAGAGCAGAGAGTCAGAGACTTGGTGCTGACAGAAGAGTCCCCATCTCAGACTGCCCAGGGGGCTGCAGTGAACAGTGCCCCTACTACAGCCCACGACAGAGGCCTCTGCTAAACCATCCCTGCCCACAGACATATGTGAGTCACTAAAATGAAGCAACATCATATCCAGGGGTAGGAAGGAGGTTAGCCCAGCGCAGTATCTGGGTTGGAAGAATGCAAGAGCAGGAATTAGCCAGCAAGCTGCTCCTCCCCATCATCTCCAGATTTCTCCTTTCAGCCCTACTCTACTGGTCAGTGGATAATCTTCCATCAGGCAGGACACAAACAAGGAACATTTTGGTTTCTGCCTGTAGTCCTGCTCTGGAAATGAGGAACCTATCTGGGCAGTACAGACCTACTCTGACAGATTGCTGGGCAAGGGAAGCAGCTGACTGTTGTCCAGTGACTGGAGACCCCAGTGCTTTCTGCACAGTTCTAGTTCTTCACATTGCTAAGGAACACCCTTTTATCAGCACAGCCCATGGAGGTCTTAGCAGGTGATGCAGAGCTGCAGGCAGGAAGGGATCAAAGGAATCTCACTCACTGAGGGTGTTCACAACTCTTCTACAGGCTTTAGTGGGTCCAGAGCTGTGACTTCTGTGTCATTTAGGGCAACCCACCTAAACTTTAACGTGGGTACCCTAGCCCACTCACCAGCCAGGGTGACCCTGACCTGTTGAATGTGGCGTGGCTGGTGAAGCGTGCTCCACACACTGCACAGTTTGACAGCTGGTCCTCTGAGTGGATCAGGAGATGTCGCCCCAGGGATCCTGGTGAGCTGAGGGCTCTGCCGCATACAGGACACATGTAGCTCTTGGCACTCACCACAGCTGCAGTGTGCTGCAAAACAGCCACTAGGTTGTTAGTTACAAATTGCCCAGCTCCCTGCCCAGTCTGAGGCAAGCTCAACAGATACGGCAAACCATTCAGTTCAGCCTCTTGGAATGGGAACACTTTACCACTAAACCTCTGTCTAACAGCTCCTAGACCAAGCTCAAGACATTTGGGGTGTCAGAGGTCAAACAGCAAGGAGGAAACCTTTCTACAGAGAAACAATTAAGGCCAAAACACTTGGATCCTAAGACCTGACCCTTGTTTTCAGAAACGCATCTGAGGAGCTGCTGTTGATGGACAAAGCATGACTGGACTAAAAGTAGGCAGGATGCTGGTGAGGAAGCGCTTAGATGGAGACAGTCAGCTGGTGCAGGTAAGTGGCCAGTTCAGTTCTGTTTCATTCCTTCTTTTACAGATTTTGATGTGCTGTGAAGAGAGCACTGACAACAAAACCTGTGAGATACCAGCACAGATTTCCTGCAATACTGGAATCATTTCAGAGGAAGAACAGCTGTTTTCATGGGTAGGAACTGTGATAAAGGTACAAAATAAAGCACTGAGCGATTAGGAGGAAGGTTTCTTATCTCACTGAATGATGTAAAAATTGCTTCCATGTTTAATCTGAAGGAACTGCCTGGTCTCAGCCTGCAACTGCTTGCAGACACTGCCTTGGGAGAGAGTTGTGTTTTCCAGATCTGCAGGCCAGTGCCTTGCTGATTCTTTCCCCAGGACACCCTCTGGACACAGTTTACTGCTGTAAACTTCAATCACATCCTAGCTAGAAGCTCAGTTCTGTGACTGCAAAGACAGAACAAAGCCACCCTGTGCTTTGGGTTGTTTCTGGATTTGGGGCTTAAGGCCAGAGATATGCCACAGTTTGGAACCATCCCGTACCTGGTATACGTGAGCAATGAGCTGCTCTCTGCTTCCACACTCCAGCTGGCAGAGGGGGCACCGGGACAGTCCCACCATAGGGTCAGCATTCAAACTCTCGGGCACCTACAGGGAGGAAAAGCCACTTTGGTGTAAGGCACACAGATCCCCCTCCACTACAGCCACCCCACCCTCACTTAGTATCTAGTCAACACTGCAGGCAGGTCTTGACCACATCAAGTGCTGTGTGCCCAGTCCTGCTGGGGCTGGTTTGTCTTCTTGCAGTCTGAAACTTCCTTTATGTAGCCCCTGAGCAAAACTCCTGCTGCTTCAGGGAGGACAGGCAGAGGCCTCTTGGCCTCCACTTGCACCTAGGCTCTTGCCAGCACAGTGGCGCTGGTAGGCAAGGCCTGCTCTGTAGCAGAAGGGAAGGGGAAGTGGGTCAGAGAAAAGCACCAGAACTGAAGGAAGGGGGCACAATCTGCACAATCATCTTGGCCAGCCAGGAGAATGGCAGTTTGTGCCTGCTATCTCCTGTTCCTGGCAGCCCAAGAGCTCTTCATACCCTTTCCTCCTGCCAGGAGATGTTGTTTGGAGGAGGTGGGAGGGAGAAAAAGGTAAGAAACCATGAAAGGGAGAGGAGATGTTTAGACAGTACCCTTCTCTCTCCCTGGGAGGCTAAGGTGAGTGCAGAGCCAGTACACACTTGCCTCATTTTCTCTCATCAGTGGGGTTCCAGCCACAGGTTGTTCTGCATTCTCTAATTCTTTCTTCACTTTCACCATTGAGCCATCCTCCTCAGATGTATGGGAAGAAACTTCATCCTGGGTGGTTTCCTCGTCATCACTGCCACCTGGAACATGCAGAACAATTATTCCAAGTGTCAGGACCCTCAGGGCACTCATAGGCCTTAATTGTCCTGACCAGCATCACCTGGGGCCTCTACCCACCCCCTCCAACCAGGGGCTCCATTTAAACTCAGGCTGGGGCACTTCAATCCCTGAAGTGCTCTGCAGAGTTCCTGGATCTAGCCTATCACCCTGCCTTGCTTGACAGTCAGTGGACCATCAGCTGGATCTGCTGCTGCTACCACCACCCTGCTGTGGTAAATTGGGACTGCGTCCTGGTGGTGAGGCTGTTGCCCAATCTGTGTTGTAGTGGTCCTTGGCTCCTGGCTTGCCTTCCCTTAGGGAGAAGCCTGGCTCTTGGTATTTGCTTACAAAGCCCTGCACAGGAGCCAAGGGCTAGCCCAGAGAAGGAGATGAAGAAGATGGTCCTCAGAGGACCCCCACAAGCTGTGCAGTACCTAGCCTCACCCCTTGTCAGAGTCTCCCCACTCCGCTACCTTGCCATTATTGGAAGGGGCAGAACTCACTGCTGCTGGAGTCGGGGTCTTGCAGCGGATGAATGGCTGGCCTTTGGTCCCCAAGAGCTCCAGGAAAGTTGTTTTTCATCATGGCTTGGCGGGCTTGCTCCTCCAGCCCTGCAAAGACTTGCTCCCCTGGCAGCCACAAGGACAAAGAGTCAGATTGGTGCTGTTCCATTGCTTTCACCACCAAGGTTTGCCAAAAACCCAACAGGTGTGGGGCTGCTCACCTGCACTGTGCAGAACCTCTGAAGTCACCTCTCAGAAAGCATTTAAGTAACCTCTCTGCTTGCCTACCCTGCAACACCAGCCTCTTGTACCTGATGATGTGAGTCCAGTCCCTGTGTGTAACACAGTCTTGCTAGTGGAAATGTCCAGCATCAGGGTGCTCTCTGCACACTCTTTATATGCCACTCCAGCCACAAAAAAACCTGGGAGTTCCCATATATCTGCCATATGTAGCCAGGTGGCTTTTTCTGTTACCAAGCTATCTGCCAATAGAGCTATAGCACTGCTCTAGACAGGGGGGAAGCCACTTGGGGATTATAGCAGGATCCCAGATCAGGCATAGTGCTATATCACTCTTCTAAATCATCAAGTCCTATTCCCTACTGTAACAGGCAACTTGCACAAAAATAGTATCTCCCCAAGTGCCTGGCACCTCATCTGTTCTCCACAGTAATACTAAAACCAGGGGTTGTCCTTGGCATGCTCTGTCACCACCTTCTGTCCCAGGAGGACTGAGGACAAGCTGCCCTTCAAGAAGGTGTTTGTGCTCGGAGCTGGTATTTTCCTGGTATTTTCCTGCTTACGTGATGCGTAAGTTGCTTCACTACCTTGCCTTGCCCAGGAGTGGCTCTGGCTAAAATAAATCTCAGTGACACTTCATATGCTCAAAACAGACAACTAAGGGAATGAACACAGAAAGATGAGATGCTTGTTTAGGATAGCTCGCAGTCTGTTTTCTTGAAAGACACTGATCACTAGTACTGCAACTCAATAGGAGATGGCAAACACATTGAAAGAAAGCAATTATTTGTGCTTCTCTGAAAGACACCTTCTTACAGCAGTCCCTGCTGAAGTCCCCCTTTTGGTTCCAAAGAATAACAATAAAAGGCAACCATTAATTTTCATATTAAATCAAAGAAATGACTTTGTTCCAGGTGTAGCTGTGATTTACCTCTCTCAGTAGATGAGCTGGGAGTGCTTGGGACAAGGTGCTGAAGTTCCCAGCAGGCTAGCTTTTGGGTTAAATTTATCAACTGCTTTGTGAGTTCTTAAGAACCACTCAAAGCCTAAATGCTAAAATGCTAAGGAAGACACAGTGCATTTTTCACATAAAACAAAAGTCAAAACATAGCTTTCTGAAGCAGATTGTACTTTTTAGTATAGGGCCGCAACTGGCATCAGCATAACCAGGGAATTGAATTCCTCACCCGTTGAGAGAGCACCAGTCCTGCTACAAGGACAGGTATATTCTCACATGCTAAACTGTTTCAGCCAGCTCTGCCCCATACTCACACTCACACTGCCTTTGTGGTGCTTACCTCGCAATTTCCGGCAGTGCTTTAAAAAGCAGTAATTTACGGAAGATTTCAAAGACCTTCAGAAGTTTCACAGAGACTGGGAGAAGAGTTTTAGTTCCCAACATCCCCATGGAGGTTTCCAAAAGCATTTGAAGGCATTTATCATTCTGCTTCAGAAATGTGAGAGGTTTCTGTAGAGAAGACTTGAGAACACAATCCATGCAGGCTGAAGAGAGGTTCTGAGGAGCACCCTAAGTCTATTTCTCACTGAAAGGAGCAAGTACCATCATGACTGCTGTGACACATGTACCCCCATCAGAAGCCATTCCAGCACTGAATGGTCTTCATAATCCGGAGTGCTGCTTTTATGTCTGGACCACAACCTCACATTAGTGGGACTGAGATACAGACTGTATGAACAGCGGACGCTACAGAATTACAGTGTCTCTCCGAGAAGCAGATATCCCCAAAGCACCAGGATAAAAGCCCAGACTAAAAAAGGATTGCAAGACAAAGTATGGTGAAATGAGGAAGCCTGCAGAACACAGGACAGATGTAAAACTATGGCAGGAGATGTGCTACCTCTGACAGAGTTACAAAACAATTCCCAGCTGCTAGTGGAAGCAGTTACGTGTTTGATTTCTTCCCCCTTTCCCCTTCCAGATGGCTTATGTTTCCACGGAGCAGCAGCCTGGAGTCTAATGGCAGGTAGGTTCCTGCTCAGATATACAGACTATGCAGACAGTCTGTAGGACTTTAAAAGCTGTGATCTTTGTATGAGGCGACTGAGGAGGGAACTCCTATCAGTAACACTAGCATCAATCACAACAACTAAGAGAGCGAGCATGTTTGCCAGTGGCCTTTCTGTACAACATACCCATAACCAAGTTAGCATTGATTCAGCGCAGTGCAGAGAACTATCAGCTTATAGCCAGAAATGCAAACTGTTAACCAAACCAGTGCTGTTAGCAGACGACATCTTGTGCATTCTCCACTAGCCTGTATCTAAAAAGGCATTATGGGATTGGGAAGGAAACCTTTAAAAAACACTATCTTTAGCTTATACAGAATTTCTTATGTGTTAAACTAATATTGTCTCAAAAAGAACTTAGGGAAGAGTGTCCTGTTCATCTACTGATGGACCAAGTCCTACTTTGATGAAGCTTTAGAGCTTTAATGTTTGATAGGTACAGGATTATACTTTTATTGTTTCTGCACACACATGCTCACATACAGACACTTACACCCCCACCTCCACCCCGCTTTGAATACACTTCTGTTCATTTGGAAAGGAGTGAGACAGGCAACAGCTTTAGGATCACTGCTATCAGTAAAGGACGTTATGTTCATAGTGAATTCACAGACTCTTCTCCAGAAGTTTCTTTATTAAATACAAAAAGGGCTGCAGGCTGACCACAACACCAAAAACAAGTTACTGTATTTGTTTTACAAACAGCTAGAGGTGTAGGACGGTGAAAGATCATACAAATGCCTCTGCTCTGCATTCCAGTTCTCCTCTCCATTATCTTCTAAATGAGTGGGATGTCAGGTGAGCAGCCATGGAGGTAGGGGGCAGCCCTGCAGTACTGTGCAACAGGGACAGTAACGACTGCTAGGATATAGTGGTGTATCAACTTGGTAGCCAGAAATGACTTTTTTCCTGAGCCCTTCCCTTCTTGAACTGTATGAATGCAGGATAACTCTCAGGTGTTCTGGAAAATAAACACACAAACAAACAACCCCCACCCCAAAATCCACAAAACAAAATCAAAAGAAACTGCATCATTCCCCTGTCTTCCTTCCTAAACAGAAAGGTCTCTCAGAGATGAGCCACTTTATTCCCTCCTTGTACATCAATTTAAAGTCCCTGTTCGTGTAGGTCTTCTCTGTGTTCCTTTCCTGGACCTGAAATTTGCAAGTCTTTCCACCACTGTGGATCTAGTCCACCTGCCCCATCGCTATTCTGGGTTGTCCACACTGCTGTAGTGGTTACTGAAATGAAAAACAACACAATTGAAAGAGTTAATAACGGCAGCCCACAGAGCCTTTAAGAACCAAGGATTTTGATGCAAGTAACATTTCTGCTCAGTTTTGAATGCTGGGTGCTATTTCTTGCAAGATACTTTCTCTTCAAACTGGGAATGTTATAGACAGCAGAATTCAGGGAACACTGAAGAGCACAGAATATGTGTGTGTGTCAGAGGGAGAAGGAAGGAAATAGAGGATTAATGGGATATTGGGACCATGATAAATAGAGCTAGGAAGTGGGAATTAATTTGACTAACAAAAGCTGTTCTCAAGAGTTCTAAAATAAGCATCACTTGCAAAGGGTACAAGCAATAGAAAGAAAAGCAGCTCATGGGACAGCACAGAGAGAAAATAAAAGTGCACGCTAACACCTGCAGCAAATTTTTGGCAAGCACAAGAACAGCGAGTAGCTCATAACTGATGGAGCGACAGTGCAGCAATGGATGAGCTTGAATGCAAGATCAGATGCTTAGAGACATTTTATACTTTAGACTCTGGGAGAAAATGAAGACCAAATTGAACGAATTACAGTATCTCCACAGGAACAATGTAACTGCATTGTATTTTTCAGTTGAATGTGGAATGGGCAATGCAATAAGTATATTCCAATATTACAGTTTTATTTGTTACCACTTTGTCAGGTGTGTTTTCCATGCACCATGGGGCAAAACAAAATTAAATTATTAAGAGCCAATTTTGTGCTGCAGCCATGCCAAATAGAAAATAACTACAATTAAAACTGTAGAAGGACTGGCCATCGTGCACAATGAGACAATTTTTATCATTGTTTCTGTAGCATTTTGAATTTCCTTACACATCAACTTCCATTTAAAACTGTTTTGACATGTAACAACACAACTTCCCAGCCGGTCACTCTGCGTGCCAAACAAAGTGATTCTGTGCTAAGTGAGGACAGCAAACCATGTTGTTGTGACAGCAAGGTTAAATGGGGGCCATGCCAAGCCTGGAAAGTAACCCTGGAAAGAGATGGCACCAAGCAAGCCAGGGAGACATCTGCAGCTGTAACTTGCCCTAGTGAATCCAAGAAAGAAGATAACATGGAGTGGCCATGCAAGGAAGAAGTAGGCACCGTCCTCCCACAAATTTGTCCAGTAAGATATTCACAGTGGTATTTATGCAAATCCAAAAAGCACCTCCCCAGCCCCGTAGCCTGCCAAATCAGACCCCAGCTGCAGACAACTGCGTAGAAAGCTGCATACCTGCTGTCCCTTTTATTCCTCTCCTCCCAACCACTTCAGTCCCTGTGAAGAAGTCTCAGTAACGTGTCTGCTATGTCTCAGCCTGACTCCTCATTCTGCTGGCTCACCCAGTTCTTGGAGCTGATGCTCTCTCCGATTATCCTCGTCAGTGCACTGCATGGCATTTCTGGGCCCTCCAGATACACAGCAGGCTAGGTAGACAGAGAAGTCCCAACGATTTGGTGGTGTTCATCATAAGACAGACAAGATTTTCCATCCCAAGGTGGAGACATCACCATTGACATGTTTCTTGTATCTTTCGGTCCCTTTATTTTCTTGTGGTCCTACTTGCTGCTCCTGATGGTTCCTGTTGAATAGTTGCTCTGTAGCAATGTACTGCACGTAAAGGAGGTGAACAGGTCCCAGAATTCCTCTCTATGGCATACCAGATGCCATAACCTCAACCTCATGCCCGTTGGTAGCATGTTTGTCAGATAGCTTCCCCTGAGACCAAAACTGGAGATACAATCACTTGTATTGCAGATTAAAAAGCAATGTTCACTGTGAAAATAGTGCACAGCTGAACTCCATAATATGTATAGTTTTGTATATAATAGTACAAGCTTCTGAAGGACATAACCCTTATGCAGTGGAGTGCAGAAAAAAGCCCACCTAAACACCATGGAAACTACCTGCACCATTACAGCTGTTGTATCCCTTGGTTTCCATACATGAGAGACCATGACTCTACACCAGGGGAGACAGCATAAGTGCATGCCTTATATAAGTCTGATCTGAACAGCAGCAGTAATATCTGGGCACTCTGAGAAGCAAAAGTGTGTGGACACAAGATGTGTTACTGGCATCATAGGATGAAACACAGGACATAGCAAATTTCTCTAAGGAAGACAATTCCAAAGTCATTAATGTACTATCAGGCAAATCAAAACTATACTCCACCCACTGTTGAACCCAGCACCCAGAAGCAGGAATTGGAGAGCACAAGTCAGTGCAGATGCCAAAAGCCACGCCTCAAGACTCTTATGCTGGCCACCAAGGAAAGCTTTGCCAGCTCTCCCATGCCTAGCTCTAGCAGTCAATGGGGCTTTCAAGTCCCAGACTTGGTAAGGTAATTCCCCTCAGCACACTCACTGAGTGTGAAGAGTGTTAGGCTATATCACAGCGTATTTCCCCCTAGTTCAGAGAACAGCATGCACATATTCCTGTTGCCGTACCCATACAAAAAGGCAGCACAGAGAAACACACAGAGACGTGCAAGCCAGCAGCATCAGCAAAGTGAAGCAGTGTTAGGGCTGCAGCATTCAGCTCCCTGTCCCGTACTCCTGACAGATACTACAGCTTAGCAGTACCCAGGGCCCTCTCATCAGCCTTGCTTTCTTATGTTTACAGAAATGGAAATTTGTTTTCCTCATTCCAGCCCAAATTCCAAACGCATCTCCAGCCACAAAGCTAGGTATGAATAAGGGCATAGCTTCAGTCCCCCCAGCTTCCCTCTACTGCAATCAGTCAAACAAAAGCCATATATATGCAATTTCCCCTTTGCAGCCAAACATCCATACGTGTCTCCCAGCTCCACTAACATCTTGCTGTAGCCTGCCCACAAGAAGTGCTGATGTACAGCATCTTCAGCCCTTTCACTATCAAACAAACGCCAGGGTCTTGACAAACGCTGGAGAAAGAGATCTGTCCTATCAGCTCAGCTCAAGAACAATCTGACAGATAGCATTTATCTGTCCAGTAAATTACTTAGCCACTGTCCATTCCCTGCAAGGAAAGAGCAAATGGCTTTATTTACATTATCTGGTAGGAAACCGAGGTACAGTGAGCTTAAGTAATATGTCCAGTTGAGTCTGTGGTAGGGCAAAGATCAGAACCCAGGACTTCCTGGCTTTCAGCCACACACCCAAACCACCTTGCCTAGAACCTTCTTTCCTACCCAAGACAGGCCAGAGCCCTGAAGTCACATTTCTTAGTATACTAACTTGCACTTGTGACAGTGTGAATGCAAAGCACAGCTACAGGCCCTGCACATACACACCTACCTTTACAGCATTAGTTGTTTGTTCAAGCCTATCCCTGTCCTGCCATGCCAGGACACAGCCAGCTCCCCTGATGCACAAAGCTCAGTTTCTCTTCTTACAGTCCCTAAGATGAAACATGAGTAACCACCATTCCCCCACACTGTACCTTTTCATCATTCCCCTCCTCCCCGTCTCACTCCACAACAATCCAGCTAGGGCAAGGATCCCACAATGCTGTGTAACAGAATACTCACAGTGAACTTTGTTAGGAGTGGTCTGTTTCCGACGGGACATGTTTCCCTGACCTGGGAGCACAGAGTGTTCGTTCCCTCAGCAGAGGGCTCACCTGAGAAGAGAAGGAACACACCACTGGAACCTTCTGAGCCTCTGGCAAAACGCAGCTGGCTCGGGGTCATTCCCCACCCTTCTGTCTACAGGTCTCGTTCTACATCGCTACAGCCGTACTCAGTGCCAGCATCCAACATGAGCCACAAGCATTTCACAAATCACTGTGTATGGGCAGTCCCACCCAGTTCTCAAGCAAAGTTATAAGCAATCCTGTCCCCAGCGTACAAAAAGCTGAGTGCCCCACTTCAAGAGTGACTGCAATCTCAGTCCAAACACCCTGCTCCCTCCTCTCCATTCCCACGGCCGACAGGGCAAGAGCCTAATCAAACCTGCAGACCCTGCCCTACCTCTGGTCTCCCACCCAGAGAGAGACTGAGGGGACACAAGGCCCCACCACACCCAGAAGCCTGGTGTCGGGCATCGGATAACCCAGCCCAGACAGACAAAGGAACCGGCCGCCCTACGGGCACCGCTCCAGACACGGCTGGGACGGCTGGCCAGCCCAGGGACAGGTCTCAGACAGACATCCCTCAAAGGGCCCGACCTCACCGGGGCTGCTGTGCCCTCCCCGCTGCTGCCAGGGCCTCCCTGGGCAGGCAGGGCTGGGAACAGGCAGGTGGGGACACACCGCCTGCCCTCACACGGGGGGACACACCGACCCCCTCAGACTTTACAAGGGGGGAAACACCAACTCCTTGTCCTCAGACTGACAGAGGAAGGAATCAATCCCAACGGTCCTCTCAGACAGTCAGACAAAAGGAGGAGCTGAACCCATTTCCCCCTGGACAGACGGACACGGGGCACCCGTCAGCCCCCTGCCGACAGACGGACGCGGGGACACCCTCAGCCTCCCGCTGACAGAGGGATCCAGCCGGCAGCCCCGGCACACGGGAGGCGGCAGGAGGAGCCCATAAGCGGACGGACACGCAGACAAACGGACCCCGCTCCCCCGGCAGAGGGACGGACGGGGGAACCCAGAGCGGGCGGGCCCCCGAGGATGCGACGGAGACCCAGCCCGACAGCCCGGATAGACAGACCGGCCCGGCCCCTCGCAGGCAGAAGGACCGACGCTGCCGCCCCTCAGGCGGACGGCGGGATCCGGCCCGCCCCTCGCGGGCGGATGTTCCCGGCCCGCGGCCCGGCCCGCCTTACCCGGTCCCGCTGCAGACGACGGGAAGCCGCAGACAGACAAAGGGCCGCCGGACAGACAGACGGGCAAGATGGCGGCGCCGCCAGAGCGCGCGGCGCGGGCACGGGCGCGGGCACGGG